CATATTTTTGAGTTATCTCACCACTTCCCTCTTATAAAATTGTGTATAATTGTTTTGAAGTTTTTGAAGGATTTCGAATGCAGTTTCTAAGGGGGTGATGTTTTTCAGAGTTGGATCGTTGTTCTGGTCAGAGTGATCCCTTATTGTTTATAATCGGTAATAAAGGTGATCTGGGTGAGCAACGGCAAGTGGCCTACGGTGAAGGTGCTACGAAAGCCTTAATGCATAACGCTAAATTCTATGAAATTACTGCTAAAGACCCTGTTTGTGAGTTATCCGAATATCAAAATTATTATTGCTTTTGAGTTAATTGAGTTAAAGTGATCTTTTATTGTTAATATACTCAATATACGCAATAAATGACACCTATATGAATTCATGTAAATCACCATTCAATATCGTTTAAATCACGAAGATATCTCGTGACGTTGTTTTCGCTGTTTTTCGTTTTGAGCTATTTCTTGAGTAAGTTCCATCTGAATTGCATTTTCTTGTCCATTCGTTATAAACGAGAACAAAGTTGACTTGTCTTCTCGGATAAAAACTGCGTCTTTCAGTAATCGATGAAATGCTATTGGACTTAGCTAAAACAGTTCATAATCGGAAGACGAACCGATTCGAAGAAGCGCACGATGCGGTCGAGCGACTGATCCCATTGCAAAGCTCAAATCCTGGAATATCTTTACATCACCACTGTTGTAATATGGCATAGTCAGTATGATCGTTATGTGTTTTCAATTGTTGTGTACTTGACTGTTTTACCTCATCTTGCTTGCTATTGCTGTCAAGATGGGTATGATATCAGTTAAACGAACACAGCTAGGTAACTATCACTTTCACTGGGATTGGATATTACTAACAATGTGTTTGAGAGTATTTAGGTGATTATATGAAATTTGTTTATGTTTTTACTGCGTTATGGAATATTTTGGGAACTTCTCATTCATCTTGAATTCATTTGAATTTTCGGCTTAGATTGTATTTGCTATGGGTTTTTGATTTCATTGGTTTGTTCTCATAAAAAAAATTTGCTCATAGTACTGAGAGCATGTCAATCGTCGGAGATAATCCGTGCAAATGGAGAATCGTCGATCCAAAAGTCTAACCATTAGAAAAGTCATGAATCCTGGAAA